ATCCCAGCAGATATTTGCCATTCAGGAATTACACTACAAAAAACAACACAGAACAAAAAAAAAGAAAACCAAACAAACAAAAAAAACAACCCCCAAAACCAGCAACCCCCAAACCCCTCCATACATTCTCAGTTTATGCCTTTATTCCTGCTTTGAAGCAGGCACATTTCTGGTCCTCACTTACAGGATGAAATACTTCTAAAAAAATGTGATTTTAAAGCAAAAGAAAATCCTAGCTCCAGTGTGGTCTTTTGGCATGAGCGGAACAAGCAATATTGCTGCATAACAGGATGGGAAGATAGAGGGGCACCCTCAGTGCTGCATGGAGTACTTCTGCCAGTTCATTGTTCAGGAGAATGCTGCTCTGGGGCAGTGATGAATGCTCCTATCCCTCCTCTCTCTTTACTATAGGGATAGCTCTGGATTTCACCCCTAGGATTATCACGCACTCCTCCAGTAGTGGCCTGACCACGTAAACCAAGGACTGAAGTCCAGACTTCATCCTTCATTAATTGTTTGAAAGCAACAGTTGAGATCATAGACTAAACCAAGGACTGAAGTGCAGGCTTCATCCTTCATTAACTGTTTGGAAGCAACAGCTGAGATTATACATTTACTGCATTTCCCAAAATAGTATGTATAATGCCTTTCTCTTCCCTTTTCTAAGACAAAATTCATTAGAAGAAGAGCTTCTGGTACAGCAATCATTTCAATATGATTCACTGTATGGCTGGAACACGTGGCCTTGGCAGTAACACTATTTCTAGATCCAAAGTCTGTGCTTTAAGGCTGCATCATCGATGCTGCATATTTGATTTATCAAATACAAATTCCCTGTGGCACAGCAACTGCATTCAGGCATGTTATTAGGAGTCAAGTAGAAGATGTGGGTGCCAAGGCCTGAAGTGAGGAAAAGATGACTGAAATACTGAGGTGAGGTCAAACTCAACGAGTTGCCAACTTTCATGCTGAGTTGGCAGTGTCTCTCCTTGACCTAAATAAACTGATATGCTGAAGGGAATAATTCTGTATCCAAGAAAATAAATTGGGAGAGAGGTTTGCACATGCATTCTTTCCTCGGATAGGCACTACTAGAAATAAAAAAGTAAGAATTCTCTGAGAACCTCAAAAATTAGTATAAATAGCAGAAACAGTGAGGTTGGGTGTCACATACCGGTAAAGACGATGAAGCAAAAAACAAGTTGTCTGAAAATGTAGCCTGGATTCTGGTGTTATATGCATTTTCCTTTTTATTTCTCAATTTTACACTGAATGTTAGCCTTCTGTTTTTGCTGCTGACAACAAACTGCTGTTTGCTGTTGGAAAATAAAGTCCATTGTTGTAAACAGAGATACTAGAACAGCTGTGGATCATGAAAAATGTGTTGCCTGTAGCCAACAACAAATAACAAGCACAACAGGACATTTCCTCCATTCTACGCACTTAAACACTCTGCTTTCTAAACCCGTTGACATAAGAGACTCTGTGATGGTGTTTCTTAAAACCAAATAGAATTTGTGTCTTCTCAAAGTGCAGAACCTTGACTACGTATGGTCAAAATCACTTTGCTGAATTTTCAAGGGCTCTGCCCTCATGGGAATGTGGCTAGAGAGTGGGTGTCAGGCTAGGATGGCAGCTCCCTGTCTTTCTGCATGCTGCACATGTACACATGTATCTGCATATGGACTTGGAAAATGTGCTAACTGAATGGCTGACCTCGGCTCCTCAGTGGCACAGCCTGCTGCAGGATCCTCTCTGCTCCCCACAGAAGGGACCAAGATGCCTGCAGCAATCACTGCTGCTCTCCCAATGTGCTCCCTGTTCCAGCAGCAGCCAGCCAGCCATGAATCTTCTGAATGCTCACTGTGTCCTCATACCTAAGGCAGCAAAACTTGGATTTATCTAAGCTGACAATCCTGCTCCTATATCTGTGTTCCTACCATACTTCTTTTTTCTTGAGTAGATATTCAGACAGAAATGCTTTATTATCCCTGCCATTTCTAAGTAGATGTTGAACTAGAAAGACATTCTCATCTAGAAATTCACTGAGAGCCTACAGGAAAACCAGCTGATGGAAACTTAACACCTGACACAATTCCACTGATTCAGCTCTTACCCATCATCCGCCTTCCGCTGAACATTCAGAACAAGATCACAGATACAAAGTTCATCTTCACCACAGTCTTTAATAAAAGGAATCTATGAAAAACAAAACATTTCCTGAGTGACAGGGCTCAACTCTCAAAATTGTGTGCTGATAGTGGAGTGCAAACACTTTTGAGGTGAAGCACATTCTTGGTTTGCAGATAAGAAAATCCCTCTGAAGGGCATTAAATACTGACACAGGAACAAGTTAACACTAACATGTTATTACACCTCAACCAATCCATAAAAACAGTTAACCCATGACAAACAGGATGTAATCAAAGGGGTTTCATCCCTCTTTTATGTATTCCTTTACTGTAGGATAAGCTAACCTAAAATAGTTCATCTTTGCCATCACCTGGAAGTGCACATCAAGAGTGACATGGCTCAACCAACAGGCTTGTGGCTGATCAGCCATGGTGGCTGACGTGTGTGAGCAAGCTCAAGCAATATAGACAAAGGTACAAAATGAACCAGGGAACACCCTCAGGTGCCTGTTGTCAGACCACTGACTTAACTAGAACACCAGTTTTCACTTACATGTACCTCCTGGGTGTTTGTGGGGCCCACACATTATTTACATGTGTACAGCCATGCATTTTTTGATAGCAACATTGCATACTTACACTATAGGCCACAGATGCAGGAGAATATATATCAAGGACAGGGCTGGACACAGGATTTGCAAGGCCAATGTCAATGCGCAAACTAAGTGAATTCACTGCATCAGAAGGTTCCTGTAAAACATATGGTTCAAATGATAGCTGTCAGCACAGCAAACAGAGTAAAATTGGTAATTTTACTGTAAATTGAGAATGCACAGTAAAATATTTCCTCTAAACAAAAAGCAACAATACAAAGCTACATTTCTTGACTGAAATAATTTTCTGAGATTGCCAAGTGTGGGCTCGTCTTGCTAAACTGCTTTTAGTGCCACTTCCATGATAGAATTCATTTTTCTAGCATCACCCCTGGAGGCTCTATTCAGCTCTATTCAGTCACTTTTAGAACTAAGGAACAAGCAGATTCTCTGTTGCAGAAGCTGGTCCTCAAAAGCCAGAACCAGCTGAATTCCATTCTCACCTGGCTGCAGAGGTCAAATTCCTATTCCATTCTGCCTTATCACAGAGAGCAGCTGGGCCTGAGCAACACCAAAACACAATGTACCTCGTCCCCTCTGTTTCTTGGTACTGAATGCGTACTTGCCTAGCCCTATGGCTCCACAACAGCACTAAATGTGATCAAGTTGAAGATATTTGCATTGCAAAGAAAAGCAGGAACTGAAGTCCTCTACTGGACCTAGCATTATGCAGACAACTTAAAGCAGCTTTCAGGGGTGTGTTCAGTCTTTGGTTCTAGAGAAAGATGGAGACTTGCTTATTTGTATTTTTTCCCTAGATATATGCCTGAAGCTAGCATTCACCAGAAATGTGCCTGAAAAGTTGTTAGTTTGAGAGAAAACATTCGCATGTATGTCTTAGTTCTGACAGAAGAATTCACTCCACAGAGGGAAAGTAAAATCTATTGAAACTATAGACAAAGGGCTCTGTGTTTTGTCAGAGCTGAACTACATAATTAAGAACTGCCTCTTCTATCCTAACAAGCTGTGCTGAATTTGACAGTTATTAATTTCTTTGAAATCAAAATCTTACTAAGTATTTTTCAGTTGTGGGGGATTTCAGAAATGTAAATCATTGAGTACACCACACATGAATTTCATCTTACAGACAAAAATTTCATCATCATCTTCCTCTGATAATTTTTGTCACAATTGCACTTACCTGTACATTGAAGATGTCATGAACACAAGTCTCATGACGTACCACAAGATCTCTCTGCATGTACCTTTCATTATTTTCTTTGAACAATCCTCTAGAAGACACCCTAGAGGACTGGAGATCTGCATCCAGTGTTGCATTGTACTTTATAGCTACAAGAAGAACAACAGTACATTCTTTGCTGAGTATGACTGCCTATGATCTCATTACTACGCTTAATGCTACAGAGTGACCAGGCTTTCCAAACCACACTAAATATTTTACTTTTTTCGTAGCTTGCTGCACACAGAGCAGTCTCAAAATGAAAAAAAAAAAAAAAAGCTCTTGTGCTTTTCAAAGCAGTCAACCAGGTTTAAATCCTTCTCATCCACAGACAGCACATTAAATGACAATCAATCCAGTCTCCAGTGCAGATGTCTTGAGTCTGCAGCTGAGGCAAGAGGCCAAGCAGCAGGGCCAGGATTAAGCTAGATAAAGGGGATGTGGAACAATATCCCTGAACTCTGAGGAGACTGTAAAGAATCTGCATCTTCTCTTCAATCACATAATAATTTCTGTCTTCTTCTGCTCATATTATGACTAATATGCTGTGGAAGTTCACTGTTATTTTATAGATCAAATCGTAAGTTCCTAAAAGCACTATACATAGCACCAAAGCAGTCCAACTGGTGTTATCCATGACGTTTAACTAAATAGCTTCATAAGACGCCAGTGTTGGTCTCCGAAATATTTGGTTCATCTTCTCACTAATGACCTGTTCTGGGGTTTGTTGAACAGCAAGGATACAGCTCTACTTTATACTGCTGATTCCTCAGTTTTCAAAGATTCTGGAGCCAGTGATTAAAGTAGGCCTTAAAAACACTTTCTCTAGCATCTGATACTGCTTTTGCCTTTCTTGACCTTCAAATATGTGTTTAGAATTTCCACTCCTCATTTGAATAATGGACTTTTGAAAAAATAAGACAAGTCATTGAAATACTCTTACCCACTTGATTATTTCTCTTAGCAGGTCTAAATGTAGCCTGAAAACATATTTTGACAGTTATTTCTGTGTTCTTGTTCAGCAGACTGATTTTCTCAGGTTTAAATGATGCAATTATGGACACATTTGCAATGCTTCGTGACCTGAAAAATATTTTTAAAAGGTTGCATGTCATTGCCAAGAGCACTGGGTAATGTAGAAGCTGTTGTCTATTACTATCTGTAAATGTAAGTATTTTTTGGTTCCCAATGTAAAAATCTTTTAATGGCACTGGTAGAATTATTTTTCTTTGCATAAAAGTGATTTTTTTTTAATAAAATAGCTTTCAGTAATGACAATAAATACTTCATTATGTCAAATTAATGGATAATCAATGTGTTTATCCTGATGTTCTAATCCTTCCCTGAAGATAACAGAGGACAGAGCCCTTGTCCTGTTTGCCTAACAAGCAACCTTCTGCTCCTTTAGGGAAGTTACTGACCTCTTCTGGGAGGGTGAAGAAGGGTAATAAGGTAATTCTTTAGTTTAATTAATAATCTAATTTTCCAGAAAAACAACTTTCATGTAATTAATCAAGATTTTGAAAAACAGTTTCAAAGGAACCCTGCATGTAAAAACCAAACCAAACACTTTAATCAAAAGTGAAATGCATTAATCAGACCAAATGCTAGTGTGAAAGAAAAATGAGCATCTTCATTAATCAAATCTAAAAAAAAATTCTGGTACTTCAAGGAGCACCATTTTATTTAATGAAATGCCCACCAGCAGCATTTTATTGTGGACCAAAGGTCCAAACTGACCATTTTTGATAATCTTGTTTCATTATGAAATAAGTAGCAATTTAGTGATTTTTTTTCTTCTTACAGTGGGAGTCTCAGGTGAAAAGACAGGTGACAGATAGGAAAGCAAGCTGTATTTTAATTTAGCTTCTCAAGCAAGTAGTGGAAAACACACAGTACTTAGGGAAGCAGAGGATTTGGGCTCTGTGAAGCCTTTCTTTATTTTCTGAAAGTACTCAGATTGCTCTGGCAAAGGCCAGAAAAGATGGGCTTCTCGCCAGAAATAAGTGCCAACTCTTTCACTGCTTTCTGTCCTTACCCTACAGGGTTAGCCTCTCCCCCATATCAGCCTGCCAGCTGGTAAAGTTCATGCAGGTTGTTTGGAAAGTGGTAACACCTGTCTCAGGCTCGCCTATCAAAGCCACTATGGCTACTGAAGAACAACCTGCTGTTACAAGGAATCACAGAATGGTCTGGGTTGGAAGGGACCTTAAAGACCACCTGGTTTCAACCCCCTGCCATGGGCAGGGACACCTTCCACTAGACCAGCTTGCTCCAAGCCCCGTCCAACCTGGCCTTGAACACTGTGAGGGACGGGGCAGCCACAGCTTCTCTTGGCAACCTCAGCCAGTGCCCCACCACCCTCACAGGAAGAACTTCTTCCTAATACCTAATCTAAATCTACCGTCTCCTTGGCACCACATGCCCTTGTAAAAAGTTCCCTCTCCAGATTTCTTGTAGGACCTTTATGTACTGGAAGACTGTTATAAGGTCTCTGAAGCCGCCTCTTCTTCAGGCTGAATAAGCCCAATTCCCTCAGCTGATCTTACTAGGAGAGGTACTACAGCCTTCTGTGGTCATCTTTGTGGCCCTCCGCTGGACTCACTCCAACAGGTCCTGTTGTTCTTGGTCCACAAGGTTCCCCTTGTGTTGGAGGCTCCACAGCTGGATGCAGGGCTGCAGGTGGGATCTCATGAGAGCAGAGCAGAGGCAGGATCACCTCCTTCAACCTGCTGCTCATATTCCTTTTGATACAGCCCAGCATATGGTTGGCTTTCTGGGCTCTGAGTGCACACTGCCAACTCATGCTCAGCTTTGCACCAAAAAACACCAACTCCTTCTTCTCAGGGCTGCTCTCAATCCATTCTCTGCCCAGCCTGTATTTGTGCAGGACCTTGCACTTGGCCTTACTGAACTTCATGAGGTTGGCACTGGCCCACATCTTGAACCTGTCAAGGTCTCTCTGGATGGCATCCCTTGCAGTGTGTCAACCACACCACACAGCTTAATGTTGTTGACAGACTTGCCGAGGGCACATCAATCCCAGTGTCCATGTCGCTAACAAAGATGTTGAACAGGATCAGTCCCAGCACTGACCCCTGAGAAACACCACTCATTTCTTGTCTCCAGCTGGACATTGAGCCATTGACCACAACTCTGAGTGTGACCATACAGACAGTTCCTTACCCACAAAATAGATCCACAAATAACTCTCAAGCAAGCCCTATTCCCTGCTGCTGCCCCTTCCCTATGGACCATGTGTCTGCACAGCAGCAGCAGCAGGTAGGGATGTCTCCTGGCCCTCCTCATCTGGGCCCAGGACACTCCTGGCAGTCTCTGCCATCTGGCTTTCCCTGAATGCCCTAGCTCTGCCTCCCCATGCTGCCTTGGCTTTCAATGGTTTGATGATACATGCTTAAAAGAGGTTTAGTCTAATGGTGTTTTTCAGATACCTATGACAGCACTGGTGAGGCAGTAAGTGTGTTAGCTCTGAACACATGGAATAAAAGAGCTGTTTGTTTTGTTGTTTAATTAACTAAATGCTCAACTTGCATCTGAATCATTAAGCACTTCCTTTCTAAAAAAGTTTACCAACCATAGCAGAATCACATTTCCGTCAGCACCAACTGATAAGTCAGTAATGTCATTGTCATCTAAGTCTCTATGGCCATCTACTGATCTTCCGAAGAATTGGAGCCGTTGTCCAAAAGCAGAGTCCGATCCTAAAATTTTCTGGGGAAGAAAGTTTGGATACTGAGTTTGCCACAAGCATGCTTAAGTCTGTAGATAGTAGCCTAAGCAACAGATTTTCACTCATACTCCCTGTATATACAATGTATTGTTTAAATGAAGTGCTTTTGTGGGTGTTTTCTCCAATGCTTTTAAGCACTTTTTCCTCCCCTGTTGGAGCAGACAATGGACTGGATTTTTCTGTCTTGGGAGTAGATCAACTAACTGACTGCTGTATGCCAGCTAGTACTTACTGGAAACTTTTTAATCTTACATTGAGCAACTCAAGGAATAGGAAGCTTAACAGAACTTCTAACAAATGCTTTCTGCAACTAGAAAGTCTGCATGGAAAAGTGACATTAAAATTGCCATTATATTAGCATATAGGATATGCAAAGACTCTTGAAAGTATTTTAATTTAATACTACATATTTATAATTTACAGAGCTGGGATTTATTTAATTTTCATTGCTGTAAATCAGCTCTAAAAACCTGAATAATGGATGTCCAAAACTGCATTGGAAATTAGGTTACTTCATACACAGGCACCAAAAGTGGTAAGAGGCTCAGATGGAGCATCTTTTCCTCTATATGCTTCAGTTATAAGCACCACAACATCAACCAGAATGGGCTGAGGCACGAAACTTGAAATAAACCAGGAAAATAACACTAGTCCTTTAAGAGGATGAAATAATAGCCAACTGACAGAAAATCCTTCTGTTTGCATCTAGCAGATCTAAAGGCACTGAGTATAGCATTATGCAACAAAGTTATTTACCTGAGAATATTTGGTACGTATAGTCTTTTGAAATCCATTGTAAATGTAAATTGCTCCAGAGTTTTGGTTTTCCAGTGGTGCGCCTATTACAATATCGTTAAAGCCATCCAAATCAATATCTGCAAGTGTTGTGATTGCTGATCCAAAGCGAGCATTTTCTGACCCCTGTGGACCTTCCAAGAGTGCTTGCTGATCCAAAACTCCCTTTAAAAAAGGAAAAAGAAGAAACAGCAAAATCACTATCATTGCACCAGATTAGACAAAGGAGTAGTATCTATGTGCATTGTTTCTTGTTTCTGTTTTCCAGTACATTCCCCCTGGACTGCTCAACCCTGAATTCCTTCCCCATTGTATTGTCCATTCAGTTTGCATTATGTCCCAGAATCTTGGCAAGCATTACACAGCAAAATCAAAGCATGCTATGCAAAGCACTAACAGCAAATATAACCATACGCATGAAGCTTAAATGCTCTCACTGTCCTCATCTGACTGTTCTGAAAGTTTCACAATACATTGAAAAATACAGTTTCCAGTTTTGGATTACAATTTTTATGCAGAGGGAATAGAAATTATGTAACTGGACATAATTCTTTGAAACAGAAATGGAATTTCCTAACTAAACTAATGCAAAAAACATGTGTCCAAATGCTAAACTCCTGACCTCTGCAGTGCAAATGAAGAAAGAAAGAAAGATTGGAGATCTTTATAGTTAAATAATCACATTTACACTAGCTTAAATTCAGCTCTCTGGCAAGTATCATTCTCATCTTTAACCTCAGTTATCATACTGTGCTTAAAATTTTAGAAATACAGGCCAAGTCATTTATGAAAAATGACCAGAAAACTGTTATTTGCGCAACACAGACAAGCTGCACACAAAACCGGGTTCCTTAAAAATAATAAAAAAATATTTTTTTCATTATACTTTTAAATAATCTTAAACCTTATGTTTGACAAAGACTAAAAGTTGTAAGGATAGTCTTCCCATTTATTCAGTTTCAAAACATGGAAAAAAAAACCTTTCATCTTTCTTCCCCATTTGTGTCTAATTCCACAGTCAAAGACCAACATCAACTGCCAGCAGCACCACTTCCAGCACCTCCATCTACCCTGAAGTTTCTTTAGCATATACAGTTTCCTGTGGCTCTGTAAGATGCTGCTGAAGAGGATGGTCCTTCTCTATTCATTTGATTATGATCTACCTAGTTAAAAAGACCATGTTCTGTTTTCTCTGATGGATGATGGGTATTAATTTACTTTGATATCCAGATGTCCAGTGATTGCCTGAAAGACTGTTCAAAAGTACCAGAGGCTTGAGGACTATTAGTACAGATATTCTGAAAACAGTACAGGTCTGAATAAAAAAATACAGTCAGTCAAATAACACTGAACAAAGGTGTCGTGGTTTAAACCCAGTCAGGTAACTCGTTCACTCACTTCCCCCCCCTTTTCTTGCCCTCCCCCTGCTCTCGGAGGGACGGAGAGGAGAATCAAAAAGAATGCAACTCCCACGGGTTGAGATAAGAACAGTTTAGTAACTAAGGTATAACACAAATCACTACTGCTACCACCAGTGATAATAATGATAAAAGAAATAACAAGGGAAGAGAATACATCATCTCACCACCAGCCAACCGATAACTCGCCCCCCCCCCAGCCCAACCAAGCTCCAACCGATACCTCCTCCAACCCTGCAGTCTTCCAGCCCTTCCGGCTAACTCCCAGTTACATCCTGGGCATGACGTGCTGTGGTATGGAATACCTCTTTGGTCAGTTTGGGTCAGGTGTCCTGTCTCTGCTTCCTCCTGGCTCCCCCTCCTCCCTGGCAGAGCATGAGGCTCACAAAGTCCTTGGCCAAACCTAAACATCACTATCAGCTCTGTTCCCAAGCTGAAAGTCAAAACACTGCACTGCACCAGCTACCAAGAAGGAGAAAAATGACTGCTACTGCTGAGCCCAGGACATTATCCACCCCTTATTCCATACCATTCACGTCATGCTCAGATCCCACATTTTCAATATACCAGGACAAAAGGAGACAACATGAGTAATAGCAACCATCCACTGTGAAAGTCTACAAACAATACAGAAGCTGGCAAAAGAGCATTTATTAGAACTGTTTGGGGAATACTGTTAGGTGTTAAACAGATTTGCCAAAGTCAAATGGAAAATGATTAATTAGCAAAAAGCTTGAGCTAAGTTTTTCAGAGAAATGGTCAATCTTGTGTTTGTGTACAGTGCCTTCCACAGGACCTAAAATCAGGACCAGGAAGCCACCTAGAACAGCAGCCCCCTGGTCACTAGTAGTGATTAGCTACTAACTTGCTTATTGACTCCATTTTGCCCTGTGCCAGCTGGTTTATTTCCAGATTATGTGCACAAACAGTTCTGGGGAAAGTCTGCAGCTGCTCCTGAAAGCAGAATAGGCAAGATCGCACTGAAAGGGCTCCATCCAGAGTCCTCTAACCAGGCAGTCTTGGCACAATTTACCCCTGCCCTTGTGCCACAGCCTGGGAAAAGCATGTGCTCCTTTCTCATTACAAAACCACCACTCACAATATTTCTAATGCTTTGAAAAACATACAGTAAATAGCGACTTAGGCCCTGAAGAGGCTTTAGCATGCATGTGGCCAGTCTGCTTTGGAAGAAGCTAGTCCAAAGCAATGCCAGCTTGAGCCAGTCTTCTGCAACATGTAACTGCAGTGTAGATCACCCTTCCGCTCACGCTCTGATTTAACAGAATAGATATTGCCACTAAGTACTGTGGCAATTTGGACCGCTTTTTCCTTGATAAAACTGTAGTCCAGGGAAAAGCAGTAAATCCCTCCAGCTACAAATGAACATATCAGCACTTATCATGGATGGAGAGGCAAGATGCTTATGCCAGCTTTGCTACAGTGCCATTCTTACCTTTGTGATGGAAAACATGTATACTCTCCCTTCCTCTTTCTTCAGGTCATTCATAAACATTGGTGCACCCACAAGCAGCACATCTGTCACAGAATCCCTGTTAACGTCCACTGAACACACTACACTGCCAAAGTAGGAGCCAATCTGAAATCAGTAGTAAGAGATTTTGAAAAGCATAATGTTTTAACACCTTACTCAGAAAATTTACACACAGAAATAGTCCAATACTAATGAGTGAACCTACCCATTGGAATGAGATTACTATATAACATACTTCAGTGTTTGAAGAACCATATCCTTACAATGTGTCCACTGTTTCTGCCCAGTAGTGGCTGCTATGGCTTTACTACTCGGCAATAAGAACGCAGAGAACAAGCTATGGGAAGTATGGGTTTTTTATATTAAACTGTGTGCATGAAACAACCTGATTTCTGGTTGTCTTACAAACATACAAAACCAAAATAATATAAAATCACTGGAGAAAAAGATGGAGAAAAAGAGAATGAGTTTCTAAATCTCTCTTTTGATGTCATCTATTTCACAACTTCTTGGGCCAAGTGGAGCTCACTGAGCCTCTCCCAATCAGAAGTGTTGACAAATAAGACATTAAGCAGCTTTGTACATTATCTTTTACCACTAACTGGATGTCTTCCTAAAATACTGTTTAAGAATTACAGTTAACTTCATTGAAATAGTCTAGAGGCAGAAAAAAGTTCAAGTGGATTCTAAATGCATTGCAAGAAAGGAATTTTCAAAACAAATTGCAGTTTACTGCTGTGTCAATAAGAACAGATGCTTGCCAAAATCCGCATTCATGACCAAAATACACTTGCCTGCTCGCCTCTCTGGGACTGCACAATTGTGATATTACCATCACTGTCAACATCATAAATCACTATTCTGCCAGTGTAGTTGGATCTTGGAGCGCCAGCAACAAAATAGGCGGAGCTCTGAGTTGAGAGAACAGCAACAGAATAACCTAGGGAAAGAAGCCAACATGTGTAGGAGACCGTTAACTAGAAGCTGTCAGTTGGTTATCCATAGAGGTGCAGAGGATGAGTCAATCTGGTATGTTAAGTCAAAGAGACTGATGCTTCCAGACAAGAAGTGAAGCTGTCACATATGCATCAAATTTGCAAGAGTCTTCTGGAAAGAACAATGACACACAGATCAAGTTGAAACAGGTTTGCAGAATAGCATGGACAATAGTTTAGCCTACACAGACCACAAAAATGTCATGCTTGTGAAGGAGGTAGGAAAAAGAGTGCAAAGAATGAAGAAAAAAAGAAGAAATATGAGATGAACATTTGGGCCAGCCTTCAAAGTAGGGAGGAACACCTAGCTTCTGCAAAGCTTGCAGTGCAGTTTCCCACAGCTCACCAAACCACAGCCCAATGCTTTGGCTGAATAGAACACGCTATATTAGTACTTGTCAGCTGAAGGGCTTAGTTTGATTGAAGTTCTTTGAACATTTTAATCCTCGTTCCCATTATTCTAACATTATTTGCTTTCAGGAAACTTCTAATACCTGCAAATATTTTAAACATGTATTAGCACTATAAATCTAGCATTAGTACATATTTTGCATTTCTGTGGTTTAATTACAGCAAATTTATTTTAACAGAAGAAAACAAATTCATCCTTTATAAAGACTATAAACTGAATAACAAAATCCCAGTAATTGGGCAGAATGTGCAGGTCTTTAGTAAACTACCAGACAATGTGAGAAGCACAGTCTAAAAGGATTATGTTTTCATCATTACATATACCAGCCTAATTCAGGTGTGTGTTCAGACACCGTTTTTCTAGGGAAAGAACACCACTGGAAACTTGAAGTTCAACAAGCAATAACAGGCCAAGATTTTATTCTGAAAGATAAGGCCACATGGTCCTAAGTAAGACAGCATACAGCCATTTCAAGTGTGAGGGCTCAGTACAGCACAGGGGCTAATCTAGCAAGCTGTGATATGGTAGCTCCCCTAATGGAAGGTATCCCTCCCCATGGCAGAGGGGTTGGAACTAGATGATCTCTTTAAGATCCTTTCCAACCCAAATCATTCTATGATTCTATGATTTAGAAGGGGCTTCCCCAAGCTCGCGAGAGAGACCTGGTATGGAGAGCTCTTGGCTGGGGATAGAAGGAGGTTAGAAGGAAAATGAAGAGATAGAAAAGACAATTGCATTGTTTGCTTCAAAAATATTAAGGCCAGTATTCTAGAAGTTCCTTGTGGAGACGTGATGGAAGGAAATTACCTTATCTTTTAAAAATTATTCCAGAAAAGGGAGGAATAGAAATTCTGAGGAGATCAGACAGGCAGAAGAGCAACTGCTCATTAGTTTACATTTAGATTTATTCATTATGCTGGATACAAGTAATACTAAGCCATAGGAAAAACAGCATGTTATTTGCAAGAATAGCATCTCATTAAATAACATGAAGGATAAGTTAGTCATATGTGCTTCATGTAGCAGCATTATTCAGGGATAAATCGCCAGAGCAGGCACATTATAGGTTTGCAGAAAACATTTCAATGATCTGAGAAGACAAACTGACTGGCTTTACTGGGTCACAAAAACACATGTCAGAAAACATATGGGCCTTATAAATGAGGCCTCTATTAATCTGCAGCAATACTCCTGAAACTAAACTGAATTGGATAAGGCCAAGAAAAGCATAAGAACAGATGAAACAACAGCAAGTCAATTCAGTTCAGTCAATTCTGAAATCAGTTCTTAACAGGAATCTGGCTAGAGCAGAATTTTCTAAGTTATTCAGAATCTCAATGAAGGTTTGATACGTGTCCAGATTTGTATTTCAGCTCCTTACCTAGGTAAGAACTATGATTTCTGTCCTGTAGGATCTTCTCAAACACATGGCTTGGAAAGGTGGTGACTACCTCTGAAGACTCCTGTACTACTGTTCCACTCCAGTCATAGGCCCCAACGGCGCCCAGCAGCAGAACATCCTTTAAAAAATAAAAATCAACATTTTAGAACTACCTATTTTAGAAAAAGTTTTAGCAAAGCTGAAGTCATTATGCATGATTTCCTACATTGCTGTGTTTAAGGCAGTGATTTACCATCTAATGGAAGCAGGTTACTGGAGCTGCTTATTGTTACAACTCACATGCATTAATTTATCACCCCTCTCCTGCAAGAAGGTAAGTGACTGCTTTAGCTCCCATGGCACTCCAACTCAAGATGAAATGGGTTAATTTAAACACTGATAATTTTCTAAACATGTCCACCTTGATGTTGATCTTGCTTTATTCACTCATGATCCTCAGGAGACTGAGGATCACAAAAACAAAACTAAGAAAAAACAAACCCCCCCTTTTTGTCAACAACAGTGCCAATGACAGGACACAAAAGCTGATGGAAAAAGATACAAAATTTAATTCCTTAAGTAAGGAGATGTCCTTGAGAGAATGCTTAAAGATAAAATCCAAATTACTATGGCTTCTTATTCAGAATACTTCATACAGAAACACTTAGACTTGTACACGGAAAAGAAACATAGTTTAGATTTTTCATATTATTAAAATTCTTCACTGAACTGAGAGATCGCTATAGCAAACTGCAATGAAAATAGGATATATAATTTTTCTAAAGAAACTCCCATATCTGTCTTAATTTTTGACATTTCCTACCATCAAATGCTTGGTAAATTAAAACTTCAATTTGTGCAAATACAGCGATACAAGAAAGAAACAACCTCCCTGTATTTTCAGTTGAAAGCTGTTTGAACAACACTAGAATTTTACAAAGAGGACCTACTTGGTCAAGATAATCTTAAAATTTATTAGCATGAAAAATATATCTGCTTTACTATTCTAAGTAAAATATTCTTTTAAGAACTTATTAACTTTATAAATATTAGGCAAATTCTTTTCAGACTTGATTTATCTATATCTTGGTGACTGCCTAGAAATATACCAGCTTTAAAATATGGTTTCAATTTCTATGAGTTACTCAACTGCAAACTATTAACTTGGGGAAATTGAATTTTTCATGCTACATGAAATCAGAAATCACTGAAATCACTGGATTAACACCTCTCAAAATCATTGCATAAAAGAAACACTCAAGTTGACAAGTTAACGTATTTTTTTAAATTTTAGAGATATACAAGCTACTAGAAGTAATTTTTGTGGTATTCAATTAAAAGAAAAGATGATAATTTGACATTCCTCTGCTTGTAAAAAAATTAGTCAGAATGGTTTTTGTGTCTTGTTTTGTTGCACTTCTAAACATTCATGTCGAGATAATTACATCACACTTTATCATTACATAATTAAAATCACATACCTGTTTTTGTGAGTAATATGCACTGAACCCCACCTGTGACATTTCCATTTGGAATGTATCACCTTGATCTGTACCTGGTAAAACAAGATATTCATGTATCGTTAACCCTGTAGAACCAGACAAGAGAACCAATCTTGCTGCCTCAGTACAGCTACATACTGCTGTACATTATTTTTTTTCCAAATCCACCAATTTTGATAAAATATTTCCAATGCTTACAAACAACAGAAATGTGAGACCTGATAAACTGTAGAATATTTGGAGAATTTAATGGCGAACTGATAAGATAGAACCACAATACTATGAGTCCCTTCCAAAAAAGGCAGAAGACCATGATAAAGATGCCTTGAATCTGCTTGCACAGTCTTGTCACTGTAGATAACCTCTCTGTTTCCCAGGAAGCACTAATAATACACTGAAATTAGCAGCTTTAATAACTGGTATATTCATGACTTTCAAACAGAGTATGAATTATTATTGTCATATAAAACTTATAAAAACCTGTTGTAATTGTCTTGAAAAATCCTATGACATCCGGGAATATTTCCTAAACCAGACAGATGAGCCTCAAGTAAAGGGAATTCAATGGGAGTACACAGCAAAACTCAAGAGGAGGAGGTCAAACAATCCCTTTGACTTCATTGAGTGCGCCCTCAGCAAGTTTGCTGATGACACCAAGCTGTGTGGTTCGGTTGATACACTGGAGGGAAGGAATGCCATCCAGAGGGACCTTGACACGCTTGTGAGGTGGGCTGATGCCAACCTCATGAAGTTTAACCATGCCAAGTGCAAGGTCCTACACCTGGGTTGGAGCAATCCCAGGCACAGCTACAGGTTGGGCAGAGAAGAGATTCAGAGCAGCCCTGCGGAGAAGGACTTGGGGGTGTTGGCTGATGAGAAAATGAACATGAGGCGGCTTCAGTGTGCGCACACAGCCCAGAAAGCCAACCGTATCCTGGGCTGCATCAAAAGGAGCGTGACCAGCAGGTCGAAGGAGGTGATCCTGCCCCTCTACTCTGCTCTTGTGAGACCTCACTTCGAGTATTGTGTGCAGTTCTGGTGTCCTCAACATAAAAAGGACATGGAACTGTTGGAACAAGTCCAGAGAAGGGCCACAAGGATGATCAGGGGACTGGAGCACCTCCCGTATGAAGATAGGCTGAGAAAGTTGGGGCTGTTCAGCCTGGTTCTCCAGGCTGAACACCCTCCAGAAAGCTGTGTGGAGACCTCATAGCAGCCTTCCAGTATCTGAAGGGGTGTTATAAGGATGCTGGGGAGGGACTCTTCATTACGGACCGTAGTGACAGGACAAGAGTAACGGGTTAAAACTTAAACAGGGGAAGTTTAGACTGGATATAAGGAAGAAGTTCTTTACTGTGAGGGTGGTGAGGCACTGGAATGGGTTGCCCAGGGAAGTTGTGAATGCTCCATCCCTGGCAGTGTTCAAGACCAGGTTGGACGAGGCCTTGGGTGAGATGGTTTACTGTAAGGTGTCCCTGCCCATGGCAGGGGGGTTGGAAGTAGATCATCTTAAGGTCCTTTCCAACCCTAACTATTCTATGATATGCATCATAAGCCTGGTAAAGGACAGAGGTGAAAGAAGGGAAGATTTTATCCTGAGCACAGGAAGGTTGCAGCCAGTAAAAGCTCCTTAGGGAAGACTGAGAGCAGCTCACAGGTCTCTCAAGGAAGGTCTAAATTTGACATTAAAAAAGCTGAGTTTAGGGGTGACAAAGTGTCTCTTAGTCACTTCTACAGCACATTCCTCCAAACAGTACACCTAGTCTTCTGATTTGTGTTTTAAATTTACACTTGCTTTAATTCACACAGGTCAATCTGACAGGCATAAAGTTATACCTTTACTCCTCCAGTGGTAATAGCTCTGAATACATTTGGAGCCATATGGACAAGCCCACAATGGATCCCTGAAGCCCATGACTTGACTGAAGTTTTCATCAACTGCAGAGTATTTTCCACAAACTGCAGAAACTAACTTGAAGCTCAAGCTTATTAGGGGTGGGATAGCTGGGGGAACACCTGCGCAAACCAGAGCCCCCCTGGGGAGCAGGGATCAGCCTGCAGTTCCGGCTGTCCCTTGCTTTCACAGTACTACACTGAGGTGAGCTAAATAAAATCTTTAGCTCATCAGCTGGGAAAATTTCAGAGACATTGAGAAGTATTTACCTTCTATACTAAAAATGCGCTCTCCAAGTGTTCCTGCTTCTTCCAGTAGTGCAGCCTCAGATGACACATTAAAGAAATACTTGTCTGTTGGATAACTAGCAATTCCTTTGATTTCTTTAATTAAGTTTTTAGTATCAAGCTCATGCCTGATTAAGTATCCCAAAACCTTGGGTAAAAAAAGAAAACAGAAAGAAGAGTGAAGGAAATCATGGTGTTAACTCCAATTTTACTTTTTTTTTTACTTTTTCATCAGTTGAAGACAACCAGTATTTTGCTAGTTCATGGAGATTGATCCTAACTTAGTTTCAGTCTCATCACTGCAATAATGTGTGCATTATATACAACTTCTATATAGCATGTGTACTTTCATACATATACAACAAAATAATCTTTCAAAAACTGCAATAATATATATAATTATAGTATTACTTACAGCAATGCCAAATCTGGTTATGTTGTCTTCGTTGCATTTACCTATCACTGCTTTCAAGTTGGAGCCATCATGTGATTCACCATCGGTCACAACAACCATTACTTTTGTGGCTGTTGGACGTCCTCCTGATTCAGGTGAGAAGGCATGCTGTCTGTTACAAAATATTGGGTTTATCACATGTCAATTTATAATGGAGAGAATTCAGTATATATACTATAATGAATGTGTCCATCACTGACTTTTTAATTTGTAAATTAACAATCTGCAACAAGAATTCATGTAATTGAATTACATCAGAAATGTAATCAAAGAAGTAGAGAAAAATCCAACTAGGATTGGGCATTATTTCTGATAAAAATGCACATGCCAGGGAAAATAATATTTTTTCTGCACAAATGCAAAGGGTGGTTTTTTTTTTTGTCAGAGCTATTAATGTTTTATAACACCAGAGTAGCCAGGAATTGGGTCCACCAAGTTCAAATATAAGAAGAGTATTAATAAAAGGTTCCTCAATACTACTGCAAATATCAACTCCACTGAAGACTGAGTATGTTCCCAAACAAATTTTTCAAGGCCATTTGATTCATTATGTATTTTGGCCTAGAGTTCTGTCCTGCAAAACAGCATCTTCCTACTGAGAAACAGACCTGGTTTGTGTATGTATTCTGGCACAGCACATTTTGCATGCTGCTGGTGCTGCAATGACAAATTGACAACAGAACACCAATGTTAGTGGTCCCACTGAATCCCTAGATAAACCTTTTATTTCTTTTAATGGTTTTGTATCTTTCCTAAAAGCTTGTCCACAGTGTTCAATGAACTGTCGTATTTAGACATCTGTGACACCTCAAACAATTCTGTTCAGTACCAGAACTACTTTAGTGTAGGGTTTAACCCAATAGTTTTGAGCAAATTTAGTTTACTTATCCTTCTACTGTTTTGCATGTGGCACTCTAAATGTACCTGAATGATTCTGCCTGGTGTTGAGAACCTCCTCAGAGGCTCCAAGCATATGCACTCCCAGTGGGAATGAAATTCAGGATGTGCTCATTGTCTTGTAAGATAAGTTACAACAGTT